CTTTCCCGGTGCCACCACGGGGGGTGACAGCCGTGTCCCCCCAGGTCCGGGCCAGCGCCATCGCTCAGGACGCGGATCAGAATTACGATTACGCGTCCAACAGCGTCATCCTGCACCTGGACGTGGGGGACGAGGTGTTCGTCAAGCTGGACGGGGGAAAAGTGCACGGCGGCAACACCAACAAGTACAGCACCTTCTCCGGCTTCATCATCTACCCCGACTGACCCCCGGGACCCCCCTGAGACCCCCGGGACCCCCCCCAAAATTACAGCACCTTCTCCGGCTTCATCATCTACCCCGACTGACCCCCGGGACCCCCCTGAGACCCCCGGGACCCCCCCCAAAATTACAGCACCTTCTCCGGCTTCATCATCTACCCCGACTGACCCCCGGGACCCCCCTGAGACCCCCGGGACCCCCCCCAAAATTACAGCACCTTCTCCGGCTTCATCATCTACCCCGACTGACCCCCGGGACCCCCCTGAGACCCCCCCGACCCCCCCCAAAATTACAGCACCTTCTCCGGCTTCATCATCTACCCCGACTGACCCCCGGGACCCCCCTGAGACCCCCCCCAAAATTACAGCACCTTCTCCGGCTTTATCGCCCCCCTCGGGACACCCCCAGGACACCCCCAGGACACCCCCGCGACCCCGGCCCGGTGACAGCGGTGACAGCCCCGCGACCCCGGCCCGCCCCCAGCCCCGCCCCGCTCCGAGTGCGACACGCGACACCCCCGGCACGGGTGTCCCCAGCGTGTCCCCAGTCTGTCCCAGTCTGTCCCAGTCTGTCCCCAATAAAAGGCGCTGGGGTTGGATCGCGGCTCTGCCTCTGCTGGGGGGGTGGAGGGGACACCGAGGTGGCGCAGGGGACAGAGGGGTGGCCCAGGGGACACCGAGGTGGCGCAGGGGACGAGGGGGTGGCACAAGGGACGAGGGGTGGCTCAGAGGACGCAGGGGTGACACAAGGGACAAGGGGCTGGCACAAGGAACAGCCCGAGGGGGACACAGGGGTGACACAAGGGACAGGCGGGGAGGGGGGGTGGTGGCACCTCCAGGCTGGCCAGAGATCCCCCCGCAGCTTTTGTGTCACCCCCCGGTGTCACGCCTTGTCGCCTCCCCCCCCGCGCTGGCTGTCAGCGGGGACAGGGACGGTGACAGGGACGGTGACAGGGACAGGGACAGTGACAGACATCCCCCGGCTGTGCGGGGACATCGCCACCCCCGTGGGGACACTGCTGCCACCGGGGGGGGGGGGGGGTGACAGCAGAGCCCGCCCAGCCCGAGCCTGGTGGGACTCGGGACCCCCGGCCCTGTCCCTGTCCCCTGTCCCTGTCCCCATCCCTGTCCCTGTCTCTGTCCCCATCCCTGTCCCCATCCCTGTCCCTGTCCCTGTCCCCATCCCTGTCCCCATCCCTGTCCCCTGTCCCTGTCCCCATCCCTGTCCC